AGGATGATGACAGTGGGAATTCAAAGAAAAGGTAACTTTGAGACATCTCAAATGTTGATTAGGCAAGACAGCATAGTTCTGGAAAAGGGAGGTAAAGAAAAAGAAAACAACTGGTTTGAAGGTGAGAGAAGCTTAATTGTAGATGTGTTAAGTCTTAATGTCTTGGTAGAAGGGTCCACCAAGAAATTTTAATTTGGGCACTAATACTTGAGAAAGATTGGCTATAGAGATGCAGATTTAGATTCTTTCACCCAGAAATAGCTGAAATGTAGGGAATGGGATTTAGGGGGAGAGAGTATGTGAAGAGAAAAGCAAAGGGAGATGGTAGGAGACAGAGTGGAAGGGAATAACCCAGATCCTGAGTTTTCATGAAGAGAGGATTTGAACAATGAGGTGGTGGTCATTACCAGTTGTTGCACTGCAGTCCATTGATTTTTGGGGTGAACCATCTAGGTCGTAAGAGCAAATGGAGTGAGACACACTGGAAATGAAGAAATAGATGAAATTCTGAGGAGTCTGAGAGAATGGGAACAAAAAATTTGCTTTTGGTCTAACATTTCCATAGTCTAAAATAAATATAAAATAAACAGCAAGTAATAAGTCATTAGCAAAAAAACATAAAGCGAGAAATGCACATTAAAATGATGTATAACATAACCACATTTATGTAAGAATGTATTCCGTTATCAAAGGGCAAATGTCAACAATGCTAAAGCTGCAATTATTTTGTACCAACCTAATAATTAGATTAAGGTCAGGGTGAAGTGGTGGTGTGGTATTCCATCAGGGTAGACAAGCACCTACCTCTGAAGAAGTAAATGTCTGTGATGAGAATGTGTACGTGTGTATATAACCTCTGTATAACCTTTGCTGTGGAAAGTATATCCCATTTGTATACCTTTTGGTCTGTTTGTCAGGATCATCTGCCCTTTGGTGCAGCTGAAAAAGCAAATAGTAGCATCTGGACAGGTTTTATTGTTTATGTGTTATTTTGAAAGTTGAATGAAAAAAATCTAAAAACTTGGTTTAAAACGTTATTTTTCACACAAAAAATTTTTATTGGAAAATATAACTACTTAGTGTATCATCACATATGGTATATCACAGTATAATCTAGTTCTTAGCTTATGTCATATTTTTTGTTAAGCCTAACATTTTTCTTGATTTATAATTGAAGATTTTTTTCTAAACAGATTGTTCAGGGGGAAAAAGCTTTGAGTTTTTTTTTGAATTTTAATTAAGGTACATTCAAAATTGATAATTTGTGGTTTATTAAAATAGATGGGCCGGGCACGGTGGCTCACGCCTGTAATCCTAGCTCTCTGGCAGGCCGAGGTGGGCCGATTGTTTGAGCTCAGGAGTTC